TTTGGCAGAATCAATTATAAATTATTGCATAGTAATATGGGGTAGCATGTATGATAATTCTTTAGAGAATCTGAATGTATCTCAAAAAAAAAATTTTAAAAATAATTTTAAAAAGAGATAGTCGTTATTCCTCAAATTTGTTATTTTCAGAATCAAAATTATTTACTGTTAGACAATTATTTTCTTATCAATGCTTTCTTTGGATGTATAGAAATCCCTCATTCCATACAGAAATATGTCACAAGCATGATACCAGAATAAAAAAAGGCAAATCAATTATGTTACATTTTTATACTAAATCATATACACAACAACGGTTTGTTTTTTATTATGGCCTAAAGTTATTTAACCTCGTACCTTTGGAATTAAAAAAAATGAAACATCACAATGACATTAATTTTAAAAATTTTAAAAAAAGTTAAGAACATTTGTAGACGAAAATTATGAAAAGTTTAATACCATTTATTAAAAAATAATAATAATAATTTGCATACGTAATTTTACACTACTAAATGAGATGAACCTACTTACTATTTCTCTGATATTTACTAATTAACGATTATTTTACAACATATTTTTAAATCTGTTTCCTATTCCTGAATTTTTAAATTTCTCTTTCCACTTAATGTTTTATGTTTTATATTTTAATCTCCTATCATTCTCAAACACTTTTCAATATTCACCTATAATATGTTGTATATTTCTTTATATTAATTGGTTAAAATTAATGAAGTTGCACACAGGCAGTTATTATTTAGGCAACTCAAAAACTAATATTTTATATAAATATAATTAGAATATAATATAATGAAATATTAAAATAAATGTATTGCATTATATCAATTTGGAATAATAAATTAAACTGAAATGAATTGAATTGTATTGAATTGAATATATACACGTACATATACACTTGCATATACATACATATACATACATATATATGTACAAATATACACACAATAAAGGTTATAAACAGTAAAATATATAATATATAATATCCAAAAATGTAGAAAAATAATTAAAAACACACAATATAATAAAATAGATAAACAAACAAATACCTAATTTAGTTATATGTAAAAAGGGAAAAAATTACATTAAAATTAATAACGGCTAATTGTTGTTAAGATTACAATTAAAAAAGTGAGTAAAAACAGTTATCTAATAAAAATTTTTTTACATGAATTTTAAATTGATTGAAGCTGTCAACTGTCTTAAGACGGTTAGGAAGATGATTATAAATTTTAATAGATATTATCAAAGGCCCCTTACTCACCTGACTGGGATTATGTGAAGGTACATAAATATTATGAGCCGGACGAGTTTGGTAAAGATTAATATCCCTACACCGCTTTAAGTTATTTAGATTTTTTCTCACATACAAGGCACATTGAAACAAACATATTGTAAATGGTCATAATTCTTTGAAGCATAATCGACATGAAGCATTAATTGACAATCTGAACATACTGCGCAATATTCTCTTTTGCAGAAGAAATATTTTACAATTCCCTGTATTATTTCCCCAACATAATAGCCCATATGATAAAACTGAAGAAACAGATCCGTAGTAAAGTATCAATTCCTACTGAATCTCATAACTTAATCATGGATAAATTTTTAGAAACTAATGCTTTGGATATGTGATTAATTTGGCTATTCCATGATAAGTTGGAATCAAGTCAAACCCCTAAAAATTTAAGGTCATTTCTATTTTTGATGTTCTCGTTATTATTTACTTTAATGAGTAAGCTATAATCTACCTTAGTACCAGTAGAAGTAAATAACATTAAATTTGTCTTTGGAGTCATTAAAACTAACCCGTTATTATTGCACCAAGTTGACATTTCAAACACACATTTGCTGGAATTATATTTTAAATGTTCTTGGTTGGCAGATAAAATTGCAGAGGTGTCATCAGCAAATAGTGTTATGAATGACTGACTAAATGCTCGTAATAAATCATCAATAAAAATTATGAATAGTAAGGGGCCTAGTACGCTCTCTTGAGGAACACCTGTATTAACAGACGCCTTTTCCGAGATATAATTTTGGCCATCCATTTTAAGTCGCACAAACTGTGATCTCCCTGTCAGATATGAAAAAGTTGTTCATTTCTAGTATTATTACTATCTTTCGCTGTAAAAAAAAATAAGTTAGAAAATTAAAAAAATCGTATTTACTACCTTTTCAGTCACAGTAAGTTTTTTTAAATATTTTTTTTTGATAATGTAATGGAATCAACCAAAAAAAATGTAACCGTTATACAGTTTCACAAAATCACTGGAGAGGAAAAGGTTTTATAAAAATAAAGGAAATTAAGTGTAAAGTAAGAGCATCTGTGCGAATTGAACGACTTACAAAGTCAACGAATATAAAGTTTTGCGTGTGAGGCAAGTTAAAGTTTGAAGGAAGGAAATTTCTTTCCGCCAATGTGTATACGTTAGGCGGTTTCTGGAGATGTTATAAGTGCGTAACTATAAATTTTACAAGGAAAGTTCGCGCCCCAACGCCTCACTTGACGACAGACACAGGCAGCCCTCAAGATTTACAATGGCTTGACACATTGGTTAAAGGTCGTATGCGTTAACCAAATGCTGACAAAAGGAAACGCCACCTAAAATATAATACGTAGTAAGGTCGGTGTGAATTAAATGTTAAATGGTAGATTGTATCATATTCTTTTAAAAATTACAGTATCTGTTTATATTAAAAAATTATTACTACGAACTTTTTAGTGACCCTTACGGATATGTTTTTCTTTGTAAATTAATGGGTAGAAGTAAAAAAAAGAAGAAAACCAGATTTCAAATGGTCGACATTTCGATTTTATTTAAAAACATCCTCATCAGCACTATTTAATTTAGGTTTTCCTTGATTGATAATTTTAACATACATGGTTACAAATATTTGAGAATCAATAGGTTAGGTTAGACAAAAGTTGTCTAATTACGTTTCCTCTTAAAATCCATTAGAATTTTGAAATTTTTTGAAGAATCCTGTAAAAATTGAAAATCCATAAATTCCATTTTCTTAAATATCTCAAAAATGGCTTGCGATATGCAAAACGCTTATTATATGTTCTTTTAGATATGAAGAAAAGTAGCCAGGTACCTAATTAATTATAACATGCGTGTCACGTCGGCGCTCAGCGTCACGACGCCCTACTCTTGTTTTTATTATGGACAGCTTTGATTTTTTTTATTAATCGTCTCAGCAAATGGTTTTAGATACAACTGTGAAATAAGTAGATATTTTTTTTACTTACAATACTACACAAAGAATAAAAAAGAACAAATAAACAGCAGATTTTTATTATTTATTGTACGAGATACAAAATTTAATTGAAACTAAGACGGTTGTCGTGTGTCGATGTATCTTGCAAACGCAAAATCTAACTAAATGACTGATTTAACTGAATATTTATCTAACTTCATCTAACTGTTGGTAAGAATAACAGAAACTCGCAAAAAGTCGCAGACTAATCGGATTATTAAAAACAGTTGATTATTTTTGATTAATCGATATTCAATGATAGATAATCTGATTATCGATTTCGTTGATCGGTTATCATCCATAAAAAAAAATCTGTTAATTGAATAATCGAGTGATTAAAGAATAATCAAATAATAATCGATTAAGTGATCGATTACTTTATCGATTAATCGATAATTTCTTCCAGTTCTAATTATTACTTATCTTATTATATTAGGATAGAGAATAACACTCAATTCAACGTCAACGACCAGTGATATGCATAAAACAATATAATATAATACACGATCGCAATGTATGCCACATTGCGATCAGAACTTAAGTTGGGTGCGTTTTATATTGACTGATTATACTACCACCTGCTTGCCGATTATAAATAATTTGATTACAGATTTCTCGATAACCTATTATTTGATGATCGATTATTAAGTAATCGATTATTCGATAATCGATTATTCGATTATCGATTATTCGATTATTCGGTTATCGATTATTCGATCATCGATTATCAACCATAAAAGATTAATTTTGCTTCTGTTTCCAATCTGTCCATGAAGAGACTGGCCATGAATGGTGACAAAGAGTTACCTACTGCTGTTGGGCAGAAAAATAATTTGAGTATGTCCCCAGGGTTTGGCTCAGGTATGTGTTTGCTACAAAAGTCACTGATATTGACAACTTTGTTTCTAAATTAAAAAGTCGTTCATCGTCAATTAAATTCACATATGAAATTGAAAACTGTGGACAAGTACCATTTTTAGATTTATTAATTTAATTAGAAATAGTGAAAATAAGTTGGAATTTGTTATATACAGAAAAAATATCAATACAATATTCCTAAGGACTTTCACCATTGTGCTCAATACAAAATGATGAGTTTTAATTTTCTAGTTTATCGCCTATTAATCTTCCCCTTCAATAAGGAGGTTTGAAAAAAAAAGGCATTGATTAATAATACAGTTGTGAGTAACGAATATTCTGTAAGTTTAGTTGATAAAACATAAATTTAAAGACACAATGAAATTCCTCGACCTTCAAAATGCAAAGAGAACATCCAAAATTTGTAATGATTCCATACGATCCTCTATTCGTCTAGAGTATTGGTAAAATTTTTAAAGATATACGTATGAAAGTGGTCGTTCATCAGAAAATAAACTACAACAACTTCTAGGCTATCCAAAAGACAAAAATAAAACAAACGAAAAGTCAGGGATTTACGAAATTAGCTGTAAGGACTGTAATAAAAAGTATGTTGGACAAACTACACGATCAATTCAAACTAGATTCAAGGGACATATGGCTCATTTCAAATATGGTAAAACAGATGTCTAGTATTGCCCAGCATATGTTTAAGAAGAACCATTAAATTGATATTAAACACCTCAAGTAATACAATCCCCTGTATTCTTGAAGGTACCTTGTGTGGAGAGAGAGGGCTACATATTTGGACACACACCCAATGTCCGAGTATGTTAAGATTAATTTCTGATTTAGAAAAATCCTAGCTCCTCGACCAGGCATCGAACCCGGGACTCCAGGATGACAGGCCAGTGTCCTTACCACTCGGCCACGAAGCCACACAATTAACAATATAAGATTAATTAGGAATGTAACAAATACTAGACAGCTGGATGTATTTGAAAAATTGGAAATTACAAAGTGTAAAAATAATATGAATAGTGGCAGAGAGCCAATTCCAAATAGTCCGCCCTATTGGTTAGTGAGTCACGGTTCACCAAATAGGATACATGGTTGGCACAAGGTTAGTTTTAATCATCTCCGGATAATGCCAACTTGGTCGGCGAAACGCGCGTCGAGTGCATATATGGCATTTTGGTGTTTCGTGAAAAACAACGTCAATGTTAGCTTCACATCAAAGATTTCAATCCACTTCAGAAACTACAGTTCTGAAAATAGTTTGAGGTAAATATTCCTAGTTTATCTAACTATGTGATATTTGTATAAATTTGTTTCTTGTAATATTTATGTATTTTGTTTAAATTGCGATGATCTATTATGAATATGGTTTTGTTTATATTGTGGAGATGTCAAGAAGACAAGTAACATAACATTAATAATCAAGATCCTTTAAATTATAAAAGGGAAATAAGGGACATTATTCCAGGAAGCTAGAGAGACTTTGACATATGTTCTAAACAATATACCTATGTAAACGTTTCATGTATAGTCTGCCTTTTAATATTTTACTCGAGTTACCTTTAATCATGCTTTCTCTAAATATACTTGTTTGCGTTAGTATTAAATATGCTGCATAATATAACTACACGAAATAATAGATAGATAGATAGATAGAAATATATACCAGGTTATTTACAAATATATATATATATATATATATATATATATATATATATATATATATATATATATATATAACTTTTTTTTCCAAATGGAATGACCCATATTAATTGTCATGGGTGAATTCAATATTGAATGCCCTTTCGACTGATATAAGCTTGTCTATACTTATCTCTAACAGTTTTCCAGAAAAATCAGGTTCTTTTCTAAAGTCCGAAAAAGTAGCTATGTAACAGCATCAAGAAGGCCTTGCAAACAATGTTTATTGCACTGTTTGACATACAAAGCAAATTAAATGTCACTCTAGTTTTGATTAACGTTGACGTTGTAGTTATTTTGCTAAGTAGAGAGTAAAAGTTTATTATAATATTTTCAAAATGCCGCAGACGCAGGAAGAAATGATTGATATGGTTTTTGTCCTCGGTGAGTGCGAAAGAAATCCATTATTGGCATCACGAATTTATGCAAAGCGTTATCCAGACAGACCATATCCACGGCGTAAAGTCTTTCAATTTTTTAAAGTTAATATTGCGAAGTATTGTTGATTTATTTTGGAGCATATGGAATTAATACAATCGTTCCAACTTAAATTTTCATCTATGATAGTTCCAAGAAATTTGCATTGGTTACCCACTTCAATGGGATGATTATTTATACTAAGATGTAGGTTTGCAATTTTTGGTCTTGACCATTTATGGAAATAAATTGCTACAGTTTTAGAATAATTTTAATTAGCCTATTTTTTTGACACCAATTACCAAATTGTCTAAGAACATTATTTATTTTGTTGATAAGATCTGAAGCAGTAGCATCTGAAATTATGATATTTGTATCATCAGCAAAGATAAACACTTTTCCTTCTAGTATGTAGTCTGGAATGTCGTTAATAAATACTAGGAAAACCAACGGTCCTAAGACACTCCCCTGAGGGAAGCCCAAGTTGATCTTAAGCTCCTCTGATATTCTGATCATAAATCTTGACAGATATTTTTCCATTAATTAAAAATGAATATATCCAATATTGTAGTGAACCCTGTTTACTAAGTTTTGATAATTTTTCCGTTATAAATGTGAAATTGAGACTATTAAATGCGCGGGACAAATCAAAAAATAATCCTACTATATATTCTTTCTTTTCCATTTTTTCATTTATATATTGTACAAAATTTAAGGTTGCTGACTCGGTAGAGCGCCCTTCTCTAAATCCGTGTTGATTTGCAGTAAAGAGATTATTTGTTTCTAAGAATTTCGTTATTCTCATATAAACAGCTTTTTCCATAATTTTGGAAATAATACTTAAAAGGGCAATAGGTCTATAATGTTGAATCATTAGAGGATCATCTTTTTTATATATGGGGATAATAATTGAAATTTTTAGACGACTAGGGAATTCCCCAAGTTCAATGGATTTGTTTAAAATAACAGCTATAATTTCATATAGTTCATAGTTGCATTTTTTTAAAAGAATTGTTGGCACCTCATCGTGCCCTGTTGTTTTTTAGATTAGAAATTATTTTACAAATTTCTTGAGCTGTAAAAGGGTTCTAGCAATAGTAGGTTGTTCATATAATTTAATGATGTTCTACAAGAATTTGAAATATTATTACCAACATGTTTTTTTAATTGATCATATGTTTACTATTTACTATATTCCAAATAGGTCTAGTTTTATTTTCTGGATGATTTATTATATTTAGATAGAAGTTTTGCTTTGCTTTAATTATATTTTGGTTATATTACGCTTTAAGTCTTTCATAATTTTCATTTAGTTTGTCACAATTTGTGCAATTTTTCGAGGCCTATTTCATTCTTTTAAATTATTGGATTCTACTTTTAATTTTTGCGTGTACCAGTTATTGTAATTATTGCAATTTTTTGCTTTACACGTTTTCATTGATTTCGGGAAAGATGCCACAAATGCCCATGAGAAATGTCATCAATATTGTTAAAATGAATTCGGGGAAGTTTAAATTTTTATGTTTATCTCATTTATGTTACTATCAGAAAATTTTCTAGTAAATATATTGTTTTTTGTATTAGGTTAGGTTAGGTTATTGTGAGTGGGTCCTTGTGGAACCTCTACTGCGGCCATTAGCAGACCTATTGTGGCTTACTCCTAATTATATTTCACCCAATAAGTTCAGTCTCTTAATGAAACCGCTAACTTTTATTGGGTGAGAAAGTGTCCAAATCCTCTGGCAGAAGTTGCCCTTTGTCAAATATTGAAAATCGGATCCTCTCCACAGCGGGACAGGTGCATAAGACGTGGTCTGCCTTCTCATCATCCTCCAAGCATAGACGACACTTGACGTTTCTCGCTAGGCCGAGTTTATCCAGATGATAGTTTAGTCGGCAGTGCCCGGTATATAGGCCTGTTAGAGTTTTCAAGTTTACCCTGTTTAACTCTAAAAGTTTCTTAGTTCTTGATTTCAAAGGATATTTTATAAACACCTTCGAATGAACTAATCCTGGTAACTCTTGCTAATACTGGAAAGTTTTCCTTTCAGCCCAGGTTGAGATAGTCATCTTAGCAGTACTTGAAGATATGCCAAGTATCGGTTCTGGTCCGATGATTCGTGATCCTGCTCCTTCTCTGGCCAAGGAGTCGGCTATTTCGTTAACTTCCATAATAGGGTGGCCGGGTATCCAGACCAGAGTCACCTTGTTGTTTTAGCTCAAATGATTTAGAGCCTTCTGACAGTTCCATATCGTTTTGGAGTTACAGCGGTAGGAGCCAAGAGCTTCTATAGCTGCTTGACTATCTGAAAAAATTTTAATTGATCTGCGTGTAAGATACATATATTCCAGCCTTCGCACACACAGTTCAATGACATAAACCTTGGCCTGAAAAATAGTTGCATTAGTACCTAGGCTTGAGGATATCCTCACCCTTGGTCTGTAGCTATGTACACCAGCTCCCGTTCCCTCAGGAGTTTTGGAGCCGTATGTAAACCAGCAACTGTCTGCCCTCAGAAGGTTGGTTTTATTCCGATCTCACTCATCTCTTTCCTGAAGAAGGATGTTGAAGGTCAGTCCGTAGTTGGTCATAGTAGGCATAGTATCCGAGGGCATTCCCAGAATGCTGTGACACTCTATGTCATCCAACAACCTGTTCCGCTCCATGATACTAGTCTGCGGCATACTAATGGCCTCTTTGCAGTCTATATGTTACCCACCTGGCCTCTTTCCCCAAATATATATATGAAGAGGGGGTAAGTCCAGGGAGATTTCCATTGCAACTGACGATGTGGTGCTAATTGCCCCCATTACGGTTGAGCATGCTAATCTCTGTAATCCAGAGAGTTTGGCTTTTTGTATTAACTTTACTGTCAGTAGCCGAATCAAAAAAATGAATTAATTGTGCTGTCTGGTCAGAAATTGCTGCATCTATAATACTGTAGTTTATTTTGTTTTTTTACATTGATTATTAAGTGATCTAAGGCTGTTGCACTAGTATTCGTTCCTCAGGTGGCAATGTGGGTAGGTTCTCTAATTAACGATTCTACTTCTTATGATTCTAATTCATCACATAATATCTTTTTTTCAGTACCGTTTTGCAGAATATCAATATTTAAGTCCCCGCAGATTATAATTTTGGTATATGAATTAGTTGTAATATCTAGTATTTTACATAGCTGAATGAAAAAGATGTCTATATTCCCTCGAGGGGATCGATATATAACTACTATACATAAGTGTCTATTTACCAGAATGCCCAAGCATTCGATATCTACCTCAATGGATAACATATTTATTTCTTTAATTTCTTTACAATTATTCGAATATTCATAATTTGCAAATATTGCTACTCCACCGTTTGTAGTGTTTTTCCTACTGTATCCACATATTACTTGATAACCACTAATTTTTAAAGACTTTAAATGATCATCCAATGCTCGGTTACCAGAAATAAATCAATTTTATGTTCTTCTAAAAGAGTAACAATAAAGTTTAATTTATTGCATATGCATTGAACGTACATATGTAATATATTTGTTAAGTTTTTATTATTGAGTTTATAAGTAGTATTACCAATCTGATTTAGTTCGATATATATATCTGTTGTGTCTGTTCGAGACATGTGGAAAAAAAAATCTGAAAGAATATCCATTTACTAGAGCACCTTCTGGCCAAATGTCAGAGCTGTAGACTTCATGGACATGATTGATGGGAAAAGTTACCAGCATGGAACAAGTTTTTTCGCTATTATGCAACGAATTGCACTTGAAAGGTATTTGTGGTGCCGTTTCGGAGAGAA